TTTTTTTTTTTTTTTTGTCAAAACTCCAGTTGAGATAAGGTAGGTGTGAAAGTATGAAAAGAGTGAACGTAACAAAAGCAAAATGTTAGGTCAATAACATATATTCACATGTTTTTTTCTGAATTTTAAAACAACGACATTCCCAGAGAAATTTTCAAAGAATTACGAATCTCCAACTTTCCCAAAGTTAGTTTCCGAATCCTCGAAAATACATACATTTGATGGATTCTAATCTTGCACTAATTTCGTTGTCACGGGCAACAACAACTCAATGTCTGGTGTTTAATTTTATTTTATCTTTGAGTTGAAAAACTTACTGCTATCTTAATTTCATCGAAGGGAATGCTCCACAAACAAATATAAAAATCGAATTCTCCTGCAACACTACATGCACCAATCATTCACTACTATGCTAATTCAATCAGGTGCAAAAAGATTAATGTAACAGTTAATCTGAGCAAACTTGAATGAATGATTGCAGGAATTTGATAGAAATGAAATTGATCAATCACATATCTTGACCGTGTATGAAAATGATGTCATGTCTATTGCCATCTTGATTACAATTTTTGTTGCTGGATATCTTTCAGATCAGAAGTGTGGATTACTAAAATTGAAACAAGTCATACAATTTACGACTTTACTGGAGGATAAAGAAAAATGAAGTTCGCGGCTTTAAATATGTGTCAAACAGCAATGTTTTGAATTCAGTTATGAAAATGAGTGTGGGCAATAATAGGAGAAAATGGTAATAATGTAATCAATACGACAATGGATACTTAATATACAAAACATGCATCAATAGTAGGAAGATTTTACAAAGGTTGGAAGGAAAATGAGTTATGTGAAGCGAAAGATTGTTACAATTAATGGCTTATTTCATCCAAGAAAGTATAAAAACGTTTTTGTATGAAAAAAGAAGGTATTTTTCAAAAAAAAAAGTATGAAAAAGTATTTCTTGAGCAAGTGTAAAACAAAAAATTTAGGATATCAATTTCAATTCCTCAAAAAGCAGTATGAAGAAAGAGTAAACAATTCCTGCGTAATAATAATTTTATACTTTCACTGTCTTCGTTCTTCAATATTTAAACAGAGCAATGACAAAATGATAAGTTTTAAGGTTTTTAAAGTTTAAGTTTTAAAGCTTACGTTTTAAAGCTTTAAAAGTTTGAAACAATGATAATCGGTAATATAGATGAAAAAAAAAAAAAAGAAAAACAAAAGAAAAAGTGGAAAACAAATAATGGTGCTGAGAATGAGAGTAGTCATAAAGATTATAAGAGTGATTCACAACCTACTAGCAATATTAAAATATGAGCAAAGCATGCATAGAGCTGCTGCAATGCAAGATGCAGGGAAGCAAAGCTGTTAGAAGGATGATTTAACAAATATGAAAACCAGAATCAATTGTGTTACTACGACTACTACGACCAGCTTAAGCAAAACTCAGGAAAGATGGGACAAGACGTAAGCATCTAGAAGCTTAGAGCATTTAGCGTTTAGCGTTTGTAGTAGCAGCATCCTGCTCCACCTCTCTCTCCCCGTTCCATAGCTTCCCCATTGCAGCAGTCCTAGTCAACCATAGACCTCTTCCACTTTTCACTGATCAATAAAACGCGTTTCATATAAAATATAACCTCATCAATCAACAACGCTCAAGTGTCTAATGCATATTTTCTCTTACCAAGTTGCACATCCAAACATATTAGGGTAATTTATTCGAAAAATGTTATGTATTATATGTGTTCAAGTAAACAAATGTTGCTTCGCAATAATTCAGCTATTGCTTATGTAAACGAATTCCTGTTTATTAAATGAATCTGGTCTAATTAATCCTCTATTTCATTGTTACTAAAAACTGGATGTAAATGACCCATTGCCGTGACCAGTGGATAGCTTACATCTGGAATGATGAATCTATTTCAAAAGCCGGTGTACCAGGAAGTATGCATTATCAGGAGACGACTTGTGCTGAATGATGGAATGACGGGAATAAACTGAATTGAAATAATCTTATATTTAAAGATCATCCTTTTTTCCAATTCCAATATTGAAGTAAGTTGCTGCTGAAAATTCAGGTGATCTGCTCTGAAATGAAGTGAAACATTTTCTTTTTTTTCTGATAAAGGAAAGGATTTTATTATTTACTCAATTAAGATTGTTGCATGTTTTAGCAAAAGAGCTCTCACATTGTAGTACTTCTGCAAGCGCAGTAACACGTGATCAGGTTTTCTTAAAATTATTTCAATACTAAAATTAAACCAAATTGCCTGCATTTAATAAATTAATTGGGAATAAAAAGAAAGTAATAAGACATAGTAAAAGGATGGAAATTTCTTCCAGTGATACTATTTCTATCACTAAACTACCGAAATCATCCAGTCACTTACTGCATCGTATTCATTAATGGCGCAACTGTACCAACTCAACTGACACTACCGTACGTGAATATCACAGTGCACTCATAACATCGATTAGCCGATCATTATACCAAATTCTAATCGCTTCAACTGATCAAGTAAACCTCCTTACGAAGCCTTTTTTCAGCAATTATCATGATGAAGCTACGTGTAAAATGATGAGGTCTCAAATAATAGGTAAGTCTTATAAAATGTATACTGTAATCATCAGCCTGATCAAATACAAACACGCCATCATAATTCAATAATCTGTATGCTTTTTATCTGGTCCTATCATTTCCAACAGTACAAGCCAGGGAGGAATTCCATTTAATATGCAAATGACATACCAATAACAAAATTCATATGCGATTACGCATTTTTAGTAATCAAAATACAGTTAATAGTGTAAAAAACATATTTTTTTTACAACAATTACATATAAAATGTTTTCAAAATAACTTCAATCTTATCAGTGAATTCTCTCGAGAGCCGCAAACCTTTCAATTAAATTACTCGTTACTTTTTTTTTTTTCAGGAGGAAGAAAACAAATCACCTCAAGGAATTGGCAACTTTTTAGGAGCGCATCAAATAGTCAATCATGTAAAACAATGTCAGCAGGGAATTCATTGGATCGCCACGCGTGTCAACTTATAAAAGATATAAAAGCTATAAATTAAAAGTTGCTCCACCATAAATGACTTGTTAAAGAACAAGAGTAGAATGCAGTTTGACTACTTCAGATATCTTCTACTGGGTATCTTAAAATAAAACTCTGTAAATGTATTCCTAGAAAAAAAATCCCCGAGTGACAAAAACATCCATTAGTTAACAGCTACTTGCTTCGAACTAAATGGAAGATGAGGAAATAAGGATAAAGTATTGTGATGAAGCAGAAATGAAAAGGACGACTGGTTAAGATCGTCATTGGACATTGATCCAAACCATCATTTATTGAATACTTATTGTCGTCGTTCTTATCAATAACCTGTCTCAGATCTTGAACTACCTACATCTTCGATAGAAGTAATACAGAGATGGCAGCAATAGTAAACAAAAGATGAAAAACTGGGAGTGGTACAGAACAATACCACAAAAACTTTATCATTCGACACTTGACATCAACGAAAAAACCCATTTGTCCATTACCAAATCGATAGTTCAGAGCACACAAGAAATAAAAACTTTTCGAATTTCAAGATGTTTATTACCCTTTTCTTACAATCGGGCCAAGCATCCATGAAGAACGGACGCTCTGCACAACTATGATTTTATCTTTACTGACAAATCCGTATAAAATTGGTCCATGCATGTTTGAAGAACAAAGAAATATGTCTCAATTCTTCCAGATTTTTTCCCCTGCACGGAAATAATTTTAACCACAACAGAATTCACAAAAGTCACCCTTCCAAACACCATACCATATTCCTAAATTTTATCCGAATTTAAAATATAGTATCGCATAGAGACCTTTAGCGACCGAAACTCATTCATATGCTTGAACGATCTATCATAACCCATCACACTTCCCGAATATCTCCATATACCGTGGATACACTTTTTTAATGACTAGAACCTCAACTCTACTAATTTCTTCAAGAATCGGCTATCCTATCCGCTGTTGTTCTAACTCCGCTACTATATTCATCCTGGATTTTGGCTTACATCGAAACACTGATGAATCCAGCAAGAATATCAGATGTCCTGTAATCCTGTTTGTTCACCTGTAACAAAATCTTCAGAATTCTACAGAACTTTATTATTGAAGACGATGGTAATGAATTCAACAGTAGCAACACTACCAAATCAGAGCAAATTTTTCAAAAAAAATGTTGCACTACAAGACGCCCACCTCTCTTACAGTGATCTAAAGAACAACACAATCCGCGACGAGCTCACTGACCAAAAAATGAAAAAACTGATGGTACATATCACACATGCACATACAAACACAGACATGAAATTGAAGTACTGGGTTGAAATTTTGGGTAGAACTCAACTTTAAAAAGGAACAAAACTGAAAAACAAAACATCCGAAACTCAAATTTAAGCCCAAGGCCTGTGCTGTGAAGAAATTACGTCATTCGAGGAAAAGAAAGTTATTCAGAGTGCCAAGCGAACAGCAAAAAACAGAAAGTTGCTAGCACAAATCACAGTTTTGCGTGAAAAGAACTGAAAAATTTACAAGACAACACTACAAAAGAAAAAAACTTCGACATAGAACAAGCAAAACAAAAAACGTGTCGGAAAATAAGGCTCCTTATCGTGTGCACAAGCGCTGTTTTGACCGCTAATAGTTACAGATAATCATCACATCAGCAAAACATTTGTTTGATGACAAATGTAGGTAGTGGCATTCCCAACGAATAAAAAAAACTATAATGGAACTGTTTAAAATTGGTGTGAACAACGCAGTGTATCTCAAATAATTAACCTAGCCCAGGCACTGAAGCTTTAATAAAGTGCAGCTTTATAACAGATTGAGACGAATACACTAACACAACTGCTGGGTTAAATGTCCAGTAATTCAGAACATCCTGCATCCAAGTAGCAAACCGCAGATTTTTGGACGCATTTTCCATATATATATATATATATATATATATATATATATATATA